CAATACAGCCTGCTCGATCAACGGCCAGGGCAGCGGATGGCCGCCCTCGCCGCGGAGAGGGGGGTGGGACTCCTTTGCTACGGCACTGTCCTAGGCGGCCTGCTGTCGGAGAAGTGGATCGGCAAGCCGACTCCTACCAGGGCGGACTTCACCACGGTCTCCGAGATGAAGGTTAGGCGGCTTCGTCGGTGTGACCATACGCAAGGGGCCCCTGTTTAAGGCCCAATGGGCAACACTGGCCTTGTATCGATTGGTACCCGGCACTGTTCAGAATATGGGAACAACTTGCATATTTATCATTTGTGCCAAGCGATTTCACCGGCCTTCAACAGGGCAACCGGCCTTGAATACGCGGCCCTAAGCACGGGCTTCTTCTGTGTACGTATTCGAGGCGCTTTCTACCACAGCAGCCAGCAGGCACATCTGGTTTTTGTGTTGTCGCGGGTGGAAGGGCATTTTCATTTGACGTAATAGGAAGGGTGGTTTAACGTGCCGTGGGAGGTCACGCCGCTGCAGTTCCACCCCGCATCACACGGAAAGAGTTAGCTGTTTGCTGTATCAACGATTGACCGCTCTCTGCCTGTCTGTCTGTCTGTCTGTCTGTCTCTCTCTCTCTCTCTCTCTCCTTTCTTCCTGGTGTATCAACGATCGACCGCGTGCTCTCTCTCTCTGCTCTTTCTTCCTGCCCGTGCCGCTAAAGTAGTACTACAACATGATTCGGCAGTGGGGAGGATGGCCGCTGTTCCAGGAGCTGCTGTCGGTCACCAAGTCGGTCGCGGAAAAGCACGGCGTGAGCATCCCTAACGTGGGCGTTCGATGGGTTCTGGACAGGTGAGAAAAACCTGCAGTCGGGTGCCATCTACGGTGCTGGTGTTCGCGATAGTGCGTGTGAAAATGGCTGGCACAGATGGAGAACACATGATGCTTTTTATGGTGCGGTTGCTCGCTGGAATGCGGGCGAAAAGCGCTTGGCACATACCCGCACAGTAGAGCCCGCCCGACTATTTGTACTTGCCAACGCTAACAAGTCGGCGCAGACAACAACGCGGTGGAGAGCCCTCCAGCTACAAACAACGACTTGTCAAGGGGGACTGCGATGAGATTGCAGTGTGGAGCGCATCGGGCCACTTGCGTCGTGCGCAGGTTGTAGCGGCTCCGTTTCAGTCTAGTTTGATTATCCTTACCCGTCCTTTCGTTTCTCAGTCGCTAGTTATCTCTCACTGCTAGGCAGCACTGGACAAAGAGGGGACTCACGCACTGCCTGCCTGCTGCTAGATAACCAGAGGTCCTCTGGTTGTTATTCACACAAGAGAGTAGAGGTAGATCGGTGTGTTCTCTACAAGATATGCCCACCCAGGTGGTATCTTCGGCCAAAAACGCTCAAATACCATCACACGACGATGATTTCTACCCCCGCCCGGGCACACCATGGCCTTCCACCGACACCCCTTGTCTGTTCACTGTTTTACAGTCGAAATGCATCCAATGACCCGCGTTCGTTATGCTCCCTCCCTCAATGATTTGATTCGATGACTGTGATTGGGTGGGAACGTTTTTTCTTGGTAATATTAATAGACCGGCGGTGGCGGGGGCGATCGTGGGTACCCGGCTAGGCCTGACAGATCACTCGGAGGACAACCGACGGATTTTCGGGCTCAAGCTCGACGACGAGGACCGCAGCAGGCGAGATTTCCGTGCCTTTTTCAAGCTTTGTCATGTTCTCCTCCAATTTTCTTTCCTTTCTCTCTTCTACCTTTGTCTTGGTGTTTTTCTTTTTTGCCATCTTCTTTGCCCGCTGTGTTCCCTTCACCTGTGTTCCATCTCGTCTTTTCACTCTCCGTTCTTGTCCGGCCCCCGTTTTTTCCTACAACAACACAGCAAATTTATCTCTTCCACAGATACATGAGTCCAGGATATTTTTTTTTGTCAGACGCGATTGGTGCGTTCGTACTGTTCGTGAACCGTCCGATGCGCGCTCGGTAGACGCATATCTCGTGTTGCTCGACAGTGGCTCAACATCCTTTGTCGCCTTACCTGTTGGTAAGGACGGTGGCAGAAGCCGTACCCAACTTTTTTCACTTCAGTTGACTTCAGCTCTGTTGTTGTGCTTTCTCTGCACTCAGCACCACAATAACTTCGCTAACCCCCCCCCCCCCCCCCCC